AATCTCTCCAAGAATGTCAAATCTCTCCCAAATCTCTCCAAGTATGTAAAATCTCTCTCAAATATCTCTTTGTATGAGAAATCTCTCCAAGAATGTCAAATCTCTCCCAAATCTCTACAAGTATGTGAAATCTCTCTCAAATATCTCTTTGTATGAGAAATCTCACCAAGAATATCAAATCTCTCCCAAATCTCTCCAAGTATGTGAAATCTCTCCCAAATCTCTCTCAAAAGTTCCCGTAACTTTTTAGAATCATTCGGGTCATTCCGACCCTTAACCGGGTCAAAAACGGCTTAAAACGGGATAAAAACGAGAAAAACAGACTTAAGGAGCCGAAACCCCTCTCAAGGAACCGAAACCTCTTAAGGAACCGAAACCCTGAACAACCGAAACCCCTTGTAGCTGAGACCGAAACCGAGACCTGGAAGCCTCACTCTCGGTTCCGCCTTCTCAGCCACTCTCGGTCCCTTCTCTTCTCTCGGCTCTCGGTCCCTTCTCTTCTCCGCCTCTCGGTTCCTTCCCTTCCCTCTCTCGGTTCTTCTTCTCTCCTCTCGGTTCCCTCCCTTCTAGTCTCGGTTCTCTGCACCAGAGGACCGAACCTCGGCCAGACTTCGGATTTTTGACACTTTTCATCCATTTTTGATATTTTTAGCATTTTGAGCCATTTTTTAATTATTTTAACGCGGGATTTTCACCAAAAATTATATTTTAACATAAAGAACCCTAAATATTCACAATTTAATCATATTTTTATGAAAATCTTTATTTAAATAATAAAAGCTAGTGGGTTAAGTACAAAGAGGTGGAGTGTTGACTTTGCTTTACCTTATAACACAAGCAACCACTCCCACACCCACTCTATGACCAGCCACACCTCCCCGCCTTACCTAGGTCATATCAATGTCCTTTCCACTCAATTATCACCCTTTCCCACGTTTTTGAGAGCTGGACATTCATCCTCTCTCCTCACTTCTCCCATTTTCTCTAATTTCACAAGAAGATCAAACTCTTTCCTCTCTCACTTCCTCTCTCTAGAAATTTGAGATTCAAGGGCTAATCTTGGGTTTTCCTCCACATTTGGTAAGCATAATTCATTCTCCTTATGAATATCCCACTTCTTTCTATTCAAATCATGGATATCTTACACAAGCTCCATCATATTTGTGTTAGAGCTTCGAATCTTCAAGTGATTCTTCAAGTGTTCTTGGATTGAACACTTCTCTTCTTCAACACTTATCTACTGAAATCACATAAGGTGAGTTCATACCCCTACATTTTAATGTTTTCTCAAGTTTTTAAGGTGGGAATACAAGTTAAAACACCAAGAACATAACTAAAATTTTCTAACAGCCTTCATCAGAAAAGTTCAACTCCATTCACGGACTGTTTTGGACAACTTAAACATTTTATTTTTCAAAACTGTTTTAGGTGCAAGTATTTCCATTTCTTAGCTTTAAAATGACTACTTGAACATCTCCACACGCTTTTTCTACAATTTATGATGATTTTTACAAAACAGTCTATCTTTTCAAACACAAATTTCGGACCAGTCTGTGAATATGAGCATTTTAATACAAGTTAAAGGCTTCCAAAAATCATGATAAAAATTATGAGTAAACTAGACTCATTTTAGGAACTCTCAGAATTTACGGATCTAGTTTTCGACTTCATATGATTTTTCTAAAACAGTGCAGAAAAATTAAGAATTAGCTAACAGCTTCTAACTATCAAAACACTTTGTAACAAATACAAAGTACCGGGTTGTTATAAAAAAGGGGGTACAAATACAAAGTACTGAGTTTTTATACAAAAAGGGGTACAAATACAAAGTGTCGGGTTTATACAAAAAGGGGTACAAATACAAAGTGCCGGTTTTTATACAAAAGGGGTTCAAATACAAAGTGCCGGGTTTATATACAAAAAGGGGTACAAATACAAAGTGTCTGTTTTTATACAAAAAGGGGTACAAATACAAAGTGTCGGGTTTATACACAAAAAGGGGTACAAATACAAAGTACCGTGTTTTTATACAAAAAGGGGTACAAATACAAAGTGTCGGATCTTTATACAAAAAGGGGGTACCGATACAAAGTACAGGGTTCACTTAAGATAGTTATTATGATGTTAAAACTATATTTCACCTAGAATTGTTAGACTTTAACTATAATCGCTGAGCGTATATGTTTGAGTAATATAAGAATTTAGTCTCGATTGGCTTAGAATTGGTGGGGCCCGCCTCATCTCCTGTTCCTCGTTGGGTTGTGGACCTAGGGCAGACCCACTATATTCAACGTTTTGTCTAATTTAAACCTTATATAACTTATATACGTTGGACGATTATAGAGGAACTCTACGGGTCGTTCTAGGGTTCATTAATGCATCATAGAGGAATATTTCTATTCACTCCTTAACTAAGAGAATATTGGATTTTCTGGAAATCAGACTATATCGATTTTACAAGGAAAACAGTTTCTACTTCAAACAAAACTCTTATGAACTCACCAACTTAATTGTTGACACTTTTCAAAACTACTTGTATTCTCAGGAAATCAGTGAAACAGGAAAAACTTCAGCGCCTTGAGGATGGGACGTTAAACCGTCAACAATTAATTTACTTTTGTCATCATAATGTAATTGATTTTTAAACATGTAAAGATATACTTTGGTGTAACTTTTTCAATTATATTTATGATGGTTGTATTTACTTTGAGCAGTATTATACACATTGTTGTGATACTGTACATGAAGCCCTCCACCCCCAGACGTTTCCGCCATCCTTGGTTTGGGGGTGCGACAAAAAAGATAACATGTATAAGATCACAAGTAACTTTAACTTTATGTTTTGGAAGTATGACTTTGTAATAGAAAGAAAAGAAAGTCATATGTTATAATAAAAACAAAATAAATGAAAGTAAATTGCAAATGAGATTAAGAAGTTCTTATGATATAAGCTGATTTAGACTTACGTCGATGATTCATGAAGATGCCATTTACATGTAAAGTTGAAGAATGGATCCAATAACACGGATCTTGACTTGATTCTCTGAAAGCTTTGTAGCAAAATCGGGCAAAACTCAATTCGTGAAGTTCATTTCAGTCCCTGCCATGGGAGATGAAGAATGTCCAAAACATGGATTGCGAGCTTCATCGAATATAATCTCCTATATATTTCATAATAAAAAAACTTAAAAAGGTTCATTTATTGTATGTATTATACAACTATGTATGCATATATTTGATACTTACAAGATTGTGAGCTTCAACAGATGTAAGGTGTTAGACCAATTATGAACTCAAAGCTCATAGAAAACCAAAGAGACATAAAGGATTTGATGAAATTTAAAACCGTACTCCTATAGGTTTCTTAGGTTGTTTTTCTTCAACTACCTCCTCATCTTCCTATACTGATCCAATTTCATTTATAGTTTCTGCTACAACAGTCTTCATCTAAGACTTAGTTCAGTATCTAAGACTTAGTTCAGCATCAGGTCACCTCTAACAACAAAAGAATCCTGACTCGAAACAAAAGCTGTAAGAATTAGTGATTAAAAGTTAATTCATGATACTTATTAATTAGTGATTGAAAGTGATAATGTGTTGTAGAATATTCATGGCTGAATGTTTTTTTTGTTTGAAATTGTGATAATCAAATAATTAGGTATTTGATAAATTGTGACCATCATTAATAAATTCAAAAATCTAATTGTATGAAGATGATCAAAAATCAAGTAAAAAGAAATGGCAAGTATAGTTTTAATGTATAATGAACTTACAGATTAAAAATACAAGAAAAACAGCCTTTTACGACGCTCATTGCGCGGCGTAAAAGGCTCAGACGACGCGCAAATGCGCGTCAAGGAAGGCCCTGTCATAAAGAGAGATGACGCGCTTTTGTGCGTCATCTATAGACGACGCTCATTTACGACGCGCAATTACGACGTACGTTTACAACACGCAATACGTATCAAGGAAGGCCCTGTCATAAAGGAAGACGACACGCATTCGCGTGTCGTAACATTACGACGCGCGTGTTAATGACACGTAATGCGTATCAAGAAAGCCCCTGTCAAGAAAGGCCATGTCATAAACGATAATGACACACATTTTTGCATATCATAATTTTAAATGTTAAAAAAAATATTATCTATAGATTTACTTCTTTTCAAAATAAATTTGTATTTAATGTTTCATAATAGAAAATAAAATATCATATACAAAAAATAGAATCCATTGCATAAATTTAATGTCATACAAATAATCATTCCATGGAAAGATAAAACAAATCAATAGAAGTTGTAACAAAAATTTACAAACGAATTAGATACAAAAAATACAATCCATTGCCCCTTTGCTTATTCAAGATCAACCTGCAAGTAGCTAACTAATTTGTACAAATTCACCCTTGTTTAGAATCATTTTCTTAAATACTTTACAAACATAATTCATCCATAGTACCTTAACTATAGTTGCAGCTTTGTTTCTTTTTCTTCTGAACTCATCTCTTGCAACCATTGCTCTAAGTCTAGTCTGAATAGATACAACAGCTCCTTGTCAATTATGTGAAAAATACAGCTCCTTGTCAACCTGAACTATACCACATTACCCTTTGCTTACCTTTTCTTATGGCCACCTCCAAAAGTGAAAATTTGATAAAAGATTTAGGTCACACATTCTCTCATCAAGCTCTGTATCCAAAAGTGAGAATTTGATAAAAGATTTAAAAAGTGGGAAAATATCAAGAATATAGAGGATAATACATTAAGAAAAAAAAATTACCTTCACAAAGAGCAAGTTTCAACCTTCTTCCGCAACAATGTTTGAAAGCAAAAAGCTCATATATATCGATCTCTGCTAAAAGTAATAAATGTCTCATTAAGCTAGATATTAAACTAGGATGTTTTAATAAAAGTAATAAATTAAACATACAATCCTATAATGGAAAAAAATTAAACTAGGATGTTTTAATAAAAAGTAATAAATAAAAGTGCATTGCTATTTCTTGAATTTAGCAAATCATTGGATTTGTATAAGATTAGAAGTTTACCCACTGTGGTAATTCAAGAGCTGGCCTTGATGAACTTGATGGATTTCCCTACAAAAGACAACAAAAATTCAAAATTATTTGTTATAAATGTCTCATTAAGCTAGAAAAAATCGCATGTCAAAAGGTAATATTCAGTACCTATTTCAATTCAACCCTACTCAGCCTACTCTCATGTAAAAATAATTTATCAGATGTTATGCATCAACTTCTGCAATATATGACAGATAAGGGCAATATGAGAAATTCAACAAATAAAAGGACAGTAGGGGCAGTTTAGGTATTTTATATTATTTAGTTTGTTATGTCATATAGTATAAGAAGAGAGTGGTGGGCAGGGGGTGAGGTATCTATCTTTTGTGTGAAATTTGGAATTATTTCCTTTTGGGAGAGTGGCTATCTCGAATCAGCTAAACTATCTTCATTCTTCTTGATTCTTGTAAACATTTGGTATTATTGAGCCAATATTAGAATCATTTGCTTGTTTATCTGTTATTGAATATGTTGTTATAACTCAGTTCATAACATCAGACCACATACCCAACTCAGAAAACAATATCAAAGTCACAAGACAAAATGGAAAAGAACCACACCAGGGTGTAAACCGCATTATGTATAGATTGAACATCTAGAACAACCTTTATCTTGTCGTACCTCCTCTTTTTTAGCAGCAGTAATTTCTGCAACCTCATCTAAACTACTATCAACACGGTCAATCCTTGTAGATAAATGTCTCTTTGTAGCCTAAACAACATAATAAACAACCCAAATTAATAACAAAGTTTTTAAATAACTTACTGCAAGTGATGAGTAAACAGTGTCAAGCTATTTAGCTAAAGCATATGTGGCATCAGATAAACTTCATTTTGTAGCAAACATCATATCAGGAAGTTTCCAACCCTGTTAATGATACCATTTCTGTTAGCTGAAGAAAAACTATGTACAAGTTAACTGTAAAAAGTAATAATATTAATATATGAGCTTATATTTACCTTCCACCAAACATATCCGTATCCAACAGCAACAACAATGATAATGACACCATATTTGTTAGCACCTGCATGCGAAAAATAAGATATCAAGTATTAGGGATTAACAAAAGAAACCAATTTCAACATGAATCATTTCATATTAAACCAGATAATGCACTTCAAATAAAATAAAATAAAAATCAACAAACCTGATGAACCATTAGTGGTCACAATCAGGTCTATTTGACGCCATTAGAAACATTACTATTATCCCTTTGGATGTATGCATCATTTATAAATATTCAAGTGTGTTTAGTTCTCAGATATTCAAATGTGTTTAGTTCTCAACAGAAAGTAAATCTGAAGATGCGTACCTTACCTACTAACCAATTAAGACCACCAGCTTCCATCACTGATATGACTGCCTTCTGATGCCACTGCAATCTTTTTTCAGAAAGAGGATCCCTTGAATCAATGAAAGGTTCTATGGAATTATCTAAATCTAATGGCTCCCAATTCTTGTATATTACAAAAAATTGTTTAAGAAATATATGAAAAGCCTTTTGTATTTCTGCCTGCAAATTAAGACAAGTCAATGTTAGGTAATGTATGAAAAAAGTTCAATTTTAATTGGGAAAATGACTTATAAGGGTAAGAAAGTTTCAAAAACGTTCAAAAATACCATTTAACTATAGGCGTCATACAAAAAATACCAACGAAGTTTATCTTTTGTTCAAATCTCACCCAGTGGTAACCGTATCTCCAGGTGAACGGCTGAGTTGGCAAAAGTAATGTTTAGTTGGCATATTTAGGTAGTGTGTTGCACATCTACTCAGCATTAAATGAAAAATATATATTATAAATTGATTTAGGGCATCAGGTGGGTGGTCATACATCTCCTCTCCTCTTGACAATTGATTTTCTTCTTCTCCCTGTAAATCGTTCAAATCCAAAAAAAGAGTATATAAGGGCATTTCGGACAAATTCTCTTAAAATCATTATTTTTTTTTTTATCAAAAATATAGTATGGGTTGTTTATTTTACAAAACAAACCATTATTTCATTATATATGATTATTTAGAGAATATTAATATAGTTATATGTACTTTTGTTGCCCAAATTACTTCAGCACCACTTTGCAAAGTACACTAACGAGAATTATGTAAATGTTTGTGGATTAGTTGCACACAACAACAAACGGATTTTGTATATTTTACAAAACAAAGCATTATTTCATTATAGCTTTAAAAAATTGTCAATTTGTGACACTGCATTTCAAATTTTGGTCATTTTAGAGAGTTGCCCCACTTCTTTTCTTATTAGTTGATTTGTAGTGAGAAATTGGTATTAGCTTTTGTATAGAAGTGTCATATTTTTCTAGGATAGGGGGTGTTTTTAGTAATAAAAAATATGTATACAGGGGCAGTTTGGTCACAATCAAGGGCAAATTCATCTTTGTGCACGAGCATGTAAATGGTCTTGGATACTAACAGTTTCTAAACAACACCTTAATTGACTGGTAAAATCAGCCAATTGTAACAAAAAAAAAAAAACTATATACAGGGGCAATTTGGTCATAAAAAAGATGTATGTGTGATTAGCCCAAAGCAGGAGCAGATTCGTCATCTGTTAAAATCAGTTCATTTAAACTAAAATAACTGTATACAGGGGCAGAAACGAACCCTAGAGAGGGTTCTGTGTTGACTCCCTCCTGATTTTGAGAAAGAACGCTAAGAAAATGGATCTTCCCTTGCAATTAATCCACGTAAGACTAAAAAAGGATGCCATGTCATTTATAATTTCAGTTTTTAAAATGATCAGGTAATTTTTTTTTTTTGATCGACAGATGCAGGTTACCAACCTGTTAGATTTTACAAAATGGTAAACTTGGTTGGTGTTTTTTATACAAACAATACTTTGATGGTCTTTTTTAAACGTTTTTAAAACTTTCTTATTTATATAAGTCATTTTCCCATTTTAATCCATAAATAGTTTATGCTTTGACATGGCAATACCTTTTCAGAGACACTTTGATATCTCTCCCATAGTGCTGATAAACTTGCCTCATCACCAATATCACTGAACAAAAAACAAAACTAGAAGTCTTAAAAAATCTGCATGTATTCTAGAATTATAAGAAAAAGAAAAAAAAAAACAAGCAAACTAGACTGATCAGGTCTTTGTTGTTAGATATCAAATATGAGAGAGCAGCACATGGATAGCAAGTGGTGAGCGAAAAAGATAAATAAATTCTTACATGTATTCATAACAGGGGGTAACCTTGAACGAAAGTTAGTAATTACATCTCATTAAATGCTTCTGTTTTCTTTGTTAGCCCTAAATATCCACCGAAGATCTGAATAAATTGAATTATAAAGGTTCTCATTTAATGCTTCAGTTTTCTTTGTTTAGCATTTGCATCTCCAACAAAAGTTAGTAATTACATCTCATTAAATGCTTCAGTTTTGTTTAATCTAAGATTTTTGTTTTAGATGTACTTTTATGAACGTACAGAACATCAAACATTCTAACATGATTTCTAATTTCCTCCAAATCCATATAATAACATAATATGTGCTAGGAAATCGAAGCCACCAAAGTGAAATTGATTTTGCCTCGATATGAGATGAAAAGGGGAGAGGTCTAAGGAAATGAGAAACGGAAAAATTAGAGGTTTACTTACTGCAATAAATTAGTTGTTCTTAAGAAAAAAAGCCCTAACTTCAGAAAAGAAGATTAAGATGAAGATGTAGGTTCAATTAAAAACCCTAGAAATTTCAATAGAGAATCAGGAGAGATGTAGAAGAGAAGAGAGATGACTGAAATTCAAAGTTGTAGATTCGAATGTCAATATAGAATCCCTTCAATTTAGGGTTCAAACATGTAGCGGATGAAGTTGTTGCCTCATTCATATCATCCTCCTCCGTTCCCATGGAAACCATAGAAACGTCCGAAGAGAAATAAGTGTGTAACAGTGCTTTAGTTGGGCTGAAGGCGTTTGATGAAGAGATGATTACCGTGGGGAAGGTGTTACGGGTGTAGGAAATCAAGAGACAAGTCTTCCCGACAGCGCCATCACCGACTGTGACGCACTTTATAAATCTAGAAGCGCTCATATATCTTCAATTGAGCCTCAGATCTTCTCTTCGCTCAGAAGACCTGATCACGGATTAACACATCAGGTCAAGAAATCCCGTTTTTTCGCTTTTCTTCTTCTTCTTCTTCTTCTTCTATCTTCTATTTTTCCTCTTCCGATCACTCTTGAAAAATTCACGGTTGTTTAGCTAGAAACAAGAAGAGGCGCGGGGGTTTTAAAAGAAAATCCCCAAATTTAATAGTAAAAATGCATCCAATCGGACGAATAAACAGTTTGAGAGTAGAAATATATATTAGGAAAAATTCGATTACCTGTTGCCGACTAACTCAAACCCTTAACCTTAAACATGATGTGAAGCAATTGATCCATAATCTTCTTCGTCTTGGTCAATTCCTTGGGCTCACATAATCGGACGATGGTGGTAAATGAAGCATTCTTCTCGTGCATCGCCGTAGTTTCAGGCTAGAAGAGGAAATGAGGATCGGGGGTAGTGGATGTGGATGAGGGGTGGAGACGAGGGAGAAGAAGGTGGGGTTTAAAAAATTTGGGGATTTCATTTTCCTTCTGAGACGCGTGTTTCTTAAAAAAAAATATAAAACGACATTCACAGACGACGCACAAGTGCCTTCCGTGTTTTTAATATTTTTACATGAGACACTAATTTAAGGGCACTCAGTAATGCGCGACCTAAATCCTTAAATTTTTTGAAGAGATGACACTTTTTTAATGTTGCTCTCTAGTGCGTAACATAAATCAAAGAGCGTCGTGTTTTGCGCGTCGTAAAAGGGTCTTTTTCTTGTAGCGCGCCTTATTAAAATCACTTATTGGTAAAGCAACCAGGAAAGAATACCTTAATCGAGTAAGGTATTTCATCGAACGCCTTATAGCCATGTTTCTCATCGAAAAGCAGCAACCTTTTTAAGCTTTTCTATTTCCCAAACCTGTAGTCAGCGTCTCCAAGTAACCCATTCAAATCCTCCTACAATTATAAATCTCTTTGAGCCATGCTATCAACCAAACTCAGAATTTTTATAATATTTGTGACTCATATCGAAACTTTTCCTAGCCACATAAAACTAAAAATATCATACCCTACCAATTGATAACTTCAGAATGAATTTGAAGAAGCGATTTCAAGAAAGTCCTAACTGAAATCGGAGTTGATTTAATTTGGGGAAACATTGAAGTGTGTAGAACGAAATGAACCAAAAGAAATTAATTTGTATAAACACAATATTTAGGCACATGTATTCCCCCCTCCCCCCCCCCCTCTACCCCCACCCCCGTGAAATAATTAAAATGTTAAAAAGGGGTCATAAGCACTCACCCTCGATGCGTGTAAGCGGATTAGATTTGTTTTGGTGAAGTGCGATGCGAGAAATCACAAAATTAACCGTTCCTTGCGTTTAAAACAAATCACCAGGCCTATTTATATTACCTAATAAACCAAATGTAAGTTTCCGTATAAGTTATTAAGTATAGGGTGGTCTTTGTTAAAATAAATAAATGCTAGGGTTTGATTTTGTTAAAATCATCCCCAAGGGATTAATATGGCAATCCATTTCCGAAACAGGGGGATGAAGTGAACATTTTAAACCCAAGTTTGAGAATGAGATTAGTTTTGTTGACGATTGTCCATAGACGGGCCATTATGTTTATTTTTAATTCAAGTTTGGAAGAGGGGGGCTGATTGGCAATATCAATAAAGTTTGGGGTGTGTTTTAATTAAAATAAATACAAGTTTGGTTGCCTGTTGAAATTCCAGATCGGGTGTTTAATTTTCCAGATCGTGAAGAGGAACGTCGAGACCCACTTCCAGGTCTCATGTTCGACTGATAATTAACGAAGGAACGGGAATGGAATTTTTCAAGGTGGCGATGGTCGACTACTCACAGTGACAGCCAGCGGTCATGATGACGGTTCAGCGAAGTGGCGGCAGGGGAGGTCGGCGAGACCGAATGGATGAAGGGAGGAAGCAACGAAGCTTCTTCCTGCTCCGATGGAGATGTGCGAAGGGAGGGAATTTCATTTCCGAGGCGACGCAGGCGAAGCGATGCAGGTTGGAAGAAACAGCGAAACGGATGTGATTTCAGGGTGAAGCAGCAAAGGCGAGACCTTCGGAGGTCTATGTTCGATCAGAAACGGCCGAGAAAGAAGCGAGGGTCTCCGGTCTTTGGCCGGCCGCAGAGCGTGTTAACAGTAGCCAATCAAAAGGCGAATCGATGGTGGATACGCACTGCGAACAGGGAGGAGCAATGGGTCGGTGGTTTACTGGTCGTCGATCATCAACAGGTAGAATTGTTTTTTTTTTTATAATTATTATTATTATTATTATTATTATTTATTTATTTATTTTTTTTTTAAATTTGGTGTTTAATAATTAATAGAGATCATTGGGGGTGTTTGGGTTTTCCTGGAAAATCGATGATAATGAATGGGATATGGGTTTGATTTTTGACAAAAATCCACGGGTGTTTGGATTGGGTGTTTGAGATTTGGTGTTTTGATGTCCCATTGGCTCGACTAATTTGTCAAGAACACGACCGTGTTCTTGACTAGAACGAACAGGGGCGGAACATGAATATAAACGTTACGGGGCCGGTTCCGAACATAAATATTAAAGGGGCCATACCTAGCCGTACCCAAATCTAATTGTATTGTCATTAAACAGTGTATATATTTAGAAAGTAAATAAACAAAATTTTCTGTAGTTTTCTTAATAATAGTAATAATAATAATAGAGAAATTAAATTGATTCCTACTTTTTATGCCTACAAATATGTCTACCCAATAAAATTATGACAAGTGTCATCTTTCCATATTTTTTAAACTAAATCATTAAGACTATATTAGGAATATATCAAATACAATTAAATTGAATGGTGATTTGTCATAATTTTAGTGGATAGGAATAATTGTAGGAGTAAAAGGTAGGAGGCAATTTAATTTCTCATAATAATAATAATAATAATAATAATAATAATAACTAGAAGTGTATCCCACGCGTTGAGTGGGGTAGAAGGTGTTCGATTAAAATATAATTATATGGTTTCGATTGTTAAATTTATAAATTTACAAATGAAGTTACACATCTTTGTCGTTTTTAAAAGTTACACCACTCTATCCTTTGTGGACGTTGCGGGAAAGAAGTAAGTCACATCGAACACTATAATTAGTAATCTTATCTAGATTTGAATGCTTTACGGTGGGATTAGATGGAGATGAATGTGTATCAGGTTTTGACTTCCATAGTGAGATGGATTTGAGAAGGAAGGGCAAATAAGGATCTAATCAAATCCTATGTCATGATAACCTGCATTATACAAACATAAAAGATGACTCATGATAACTTGCATTATACAAACATAACAGATAACTGAGATAGAAGCAAGTGCAACGGAAGAGTTTCCATTCCAACCTGAAATGAAAATTTTTAATTATTAAAAGAGATCACAACTAAAACTGGTCAACACAAAAGTTAATAACATTTTTTTATTTATACTTTAAGATTAAGAAGCAACATGAAAATTATTATTTATTGTTAAATTTCCATCAAAAATTTAATAAGACTAACCAAATGGTCTAGAAAATATCCACTTTTTGTGTGCTCCTTGTAACATTGTTCAATGGGATCAACTAACTGAGAAATTATTTGTGCGTGTTAGATATTGAAAATAGATAATTAGATAGATACATAAGAAAAAAATTGAAAAAATGCGAAAAGAAAACCTTTTTGGAGTTCATAAAGTGTAGCTAGAAATGAGCCTTCAGTTTCCTCTTCCCATCGTCATACAACCAATCTTCGGTTTCTTGAAACTCACTAATTAACATCTTAATCTGTAACATATTCATGTAGCTTATCATATAGCTAGAAAACCAAAGTTGATGGTGGAAACTAATACCTTAAATCGAATTTAAGTAATGTTATGCATCATTCATATGCATTTCATACACATGCAAGCCATAAAATCGAATCAGAAATTTTTAGGATAAAACCTTAAATATAAAAACCAAAATTGCAAGGGAACTTCTTAGGAAAAAAAATGAAATAATGATTATACTTATAAACATTATGATTTATAAATAACTTACCTAACAAAAGATTAGGTTGATCCACAAGTAATGGTTCATCTGGGGTTTATCTAAAGACTTTATTAAATGGTCAACCATTTGTTCCAGTTCCTTACTTCCTTTACAATTTCTTTATCCTATGAAACAGATTCAACATGCCCATTCAAAGGCTTCCTCCCATTTGTTTTAATGCCCAAAAACGACCAACACAACTACCTAACAAATAGCTGAAACATAAGCTTTCTTGGTTGCAGTTTTCTTCTTCTGGAAACTCAAATTTGTACACAAAAAAATAATATCCTAGATATATGAAGTTTGGAAGAAATTGAATGAATAGAAGTTAGTTTATTTCATTTATGAAATAATTACAACTTCATTGTAAAACTAAAGAAAAGTAACGTCTTAATTTTCCAATTGTGTATTTATTTTGATCTCTTGAAATGTTCAGAGTATCAAAACCCCACTGCTTACTGGACAAATTTTCAAATTATAATTCCTAAGAGAAAATGGGAAAGTGTAATGCTATAAACGGATAAAATGGCGCATTGACCTATTATGTCAAGCCTAAGTGAAAGAGAAACAACCATATGTGAAAACTAACAAAAGTTGAGAAATGAGACTAAATTGGAGCAATAGCTGAAAAAAAAACATATCTTTTAAGTTTTTTAGGAGTCATGATACTTTTTTTAAATAGTTTTAGGCTAATTATTGTTTTCAAAAACTTATTAACACTATGACATAAATAAGTAAACAACCACAAATGTAACATAGGTAGTTGGTTTTTTGTTTTCGTATTTTCTGTCAAAGAAAGAAGCATGGGATGTTTTTTTTTCATCCCCCCCCCCCCCCCCCCCCACCCACACCTTTTCCTTTTTTTTTTCAACTCTAATTTTATTACACCCGAAGCATTGAGTAATTACTTTTAGTTTGTGGGTTATAGGATAAACG